AGTCAGCTTATGGGCTGCAAATGAAGCTCACAAAAGGAAAAGATCTTGTCTCTTGCTGCACTGTCGGTGTTGGGATGTCCCGCCTCCTGTCAGACAGCTGGTTTTCAGGTCTCTGTTGCACAAGCGCACATTCAAACATGCAAGTATGTCCATGAATGCGTGCATACCTTTCAGTTTGGGCCTGTGCGCCCGTGACTGTACTATACCAACAAATAATAACTTTTTTGGGAAAAAAAAACAAATAATAACTTTACTTTAACCCATATATTTCAGTGGGACTAACATCTCCCAAAATCCGTACCGAAGGATTGAACAGCGCGGTGTCCACAACATGTTTTAGATTTCTAGTCCCACCAGACACAGTCAGAATGGATAAAGGGATGGTTGGAATCGCAGTCTAAAATAGTTCGAAAAAACCTGCCCGTTCCCTATCTGTTCGTCCTGTCCCAGGGGATGAATGAACAGATGGGATGTTCTTGGATTAGGGTTCGCCTATGAAAAAACCCTCATCGGTCTTTACAAGAAGTTTCTAAAAATACAGTCACACTAGTCTTAGAAGGAGAAGTCATTGCACCAAAGAGAAAGAAGAGAAATATTTTTTCAATTAGATGTGCTGGTTTGATTTTGCTCCTTCAGGCCTCTGCTAGGTGAGTTTCCGCTCACATGATTCAATCCACTGTTTGTAGCCCTGATGGCATGCGTGCCAGAAGTGGCACGCCGAGCTTTCTCTATGTGCACATGTGCCATCGCCAGCTGCTCTTCTGGTTTCAGGCACGCACATATGCACCAGCCAGGTAGCCTTTGCAGGTGCCGGAGCGCCAGAAAATGGCCTGAAAATGGCCTGAAAAAAACCAGCCAAAACTGTTCCCAAAAACAGGCTGTTTTTCCAGGCGTTTTTCAAGCCAGTTTCAGGCCGGTTTTCAGAGCGCCCGAAAACGGCCAGAACATGGCCCAAATGGTCTTTGGGTACATGCACACTGGTCTTCAGATTTCTGACACTCTAGCGCACACATGTAGGAACATACATATTGGGCACTTTGCACCGAAAAGGTTCGCCATCACTGGTTTATAAGGATTCTGTTTTCTAAAGCTGTCGTTAGATTTTTTTTCTGTGACCCGACAAAAGCGCGAACGTCAAAAGCGCACCGACAAACCTGCGGTGCTAAAACCGCGATGTCAAAAGCGCGCCGACAACAGCGCGCCAACAGAAGCGCGATTTAAGTTAAGGTAAGGTTTAGGGTTAGGTTTAGGGTTAGGTTTAGGGTTAGGTTTAGGGTTAGGTTTAGGGTTAGGTTTAGGTTACAGCGTGCTTCTGTCGG